TGTTGCAGTTGTCATTGTTGCTTTAGCTAGTCCAGGCTGTGTTCAAATCCGCCAGCCTCAGTGTATGTGGCTGGCGCCGTACCCATTGAGCTACAGGTGCCACCCATTTAACTTTATTTTAGAAACACAGTCTTGACCTATTGCCCAGGCTAAAGTGCAGGGGCATCATCATAGCTCACTGCAACCCCAAACTCCTCAGCTGGAAGTATGTTCGCGCCTCAGCCTTCCTAATAGCTGAGACTACAGGTGCCCACCACCATACCCTGCCTCAAGTGAACATTTTTAAAATAAGCTGTTACACTATTGAAAACATTGTCTATATGAGGACATTGGGTTTGACTGCACTGTCAACACAGTAGCCACCAGGCACATATGGCTATTTAAATATAATTACAGAGGGAAGTAAGACTCAGTGGAAATCAAGCAGCAGGGAGAGGGAAAAGGAAAAGGGCAAAAACCTATCAAATGGGTACGATGAACACTATCAGGGTGGTGGGCACACCTAAGCTCTGGCTCAAACATTATAGAAGGGATCTGTGAAGCCAAAAACATTTGTACCCCCTTTATATTGTGAAATAAAAATGTATATATATAATTAAAATTAACTATATACCTCTGTAAGTTGACCACCCAAGGGACTGCAATAAGCTGGTCAACATACAGAGGTGGTCAACATAAGGTACATGTCCAGTCTATGAAAATTAAGTGATCTTAAGGAGGTAGTCAATGTAGGGAGATGGCCAACTATGGAGGGTCTATGTATTTAAGTCCAGTTCCTCACTCATCGGCCACATTTGAAGTACAGTAGCCACACGTGGCTGGTGACCACTGCAATGGACAGCACAGATGTTGCATACTTCTACTGCAGCCAGATATATGAATATGGCACCCCCTACTACTAAGTGACACAGGCAAATTCACATCCTCTGGCCTCAAGCCATGTGTCATTGCTGAATACCATATGCAATTTTGTATGTAACTTTTTTAAAATTTACTATTTCAGCAGCAGGCACAAACAAAAATTTTTATGAAATTATTATCTTAAAAGAGCAGGGAACACTTTTAGAGTCAGCTAAACTCTTTCACAAAAATACATTTTTGTTTGAATATAACACGTGGTGAGATGAAAGTAATGAATAAAAGACATAATTTTCAAAAGGCTGAGATTTTTTGCTTTTGATAATCGCCTCCCTTTATTTGATAATCAAATACAATGAGTGAATCACTAAAAAACCACTCTCAATATACAAATAATCCTAATCTCTACTTTATTTTTTGGTTGCAGCCGTCATTGTTGTTTGGTGGGCCTGGGCTGGATTCAAATCCGCCACCTTGGGTGTACATGGCTGGTGCCTTAGCCACTTGAGCCACAGGCACTGAGCCTAATCTCTACTTTCAGGAGAAAAAAATAAGGCGTCAAGTATGAAAGACTAATCAGTTTCCCCTCACCAACTGTAGAAATACCATAGAGGCAGAGTATAGTATGTCTACACCAACCATGGCAGGTATCTGAAAACGAGAGTCATTATCACTCCCATTTCTGTAGCACCCTATCATTACTTCTACTGTGATTCTCAGAGTTTGCCTCTTTATTTTTAGTTAGCCTTCTATTAATAAAATGAATCTCCCACTCTGGTTTTGGATTCAATTATCACTTCATGCCTCACATAAAAGAAAACCACTTAATCCTGCACTATTTGGTAAAAAAAAAAATGAACACAATTTATTTGCATATTTTAAATATAATGCAGTGGAAATAGCAAACCATTACCTTTAGAATGCTTTTAAAAGCAAATCTAAGAACGTTCTTAATGCCACAAAACCACAGACTGAAAAATGGTTAAAATGATATATTTTAGGGCAGTGCCTGTGGCTCAAAGGAATAGGGCACCGGCCCCATATGCCAGAGGTGGTGGGTTTAAGCCCAGCCCCAGCCAAAAACTACCCCCCCCAAAAAAGTATATTTTATGTATTACACCCATATATATATAATATATTTTTTTGCTTCTGAGACAGAGTCTCACTTTGTCACCCTTAGTAGAGTGCCATGGCATCACAGTTCCCAGCAACCTCAAACTCTTGGGGTTAAGCGGGTCTCTTTTTTTTTTTTTTTTTTTTTTTGAGACAGAGCCTCAAGCTATTCCCCTGGGTAGAGTGCTGTAGCATCACAGCTTACAGCAACCTCCAACTCCTGGGCTCAAGCGAGTCTCCTGCCTCTGCCTCCCAAGTAGCTGGGACCACAGGCGCCTGCCACAACACCTGGCTATTTTTTGGTTGCAGCTGTCATTGTTGTTTGGCGGGCCCAGGCTGGATTTGAACCCTCCACCTTAGGTGTATGTGGCTGGCGCCTTAGCCACTTGAGCCACAGGCGCCGAGCCTTAAGCGATTCTCTTGCCTCAGCTCCCAAGTAGCTGGGACTACAGGCGCCTGGAACAACTATTTTTTGTTGTAGTTGTCAGTGTTGTTTAACTGGTCTCAGGTCGGTTTCGAACCTATCAGCCTCGGTGTATGTGGCTGGTGCCATAACCACTGTGCTACCAGCACCAAGCCACCTGTATATGTATTTTATCACAATAAAAAACTATATTAAGGCTTGGCACCTATAGCTCAGTGGTTAGTTAGGACTCCGGCCATATACACTGAGGCTGGCAGGTTGGAACCAGGCCTGGGCCTCCTAAACAACAATGACAACTGCAACAAAAAAATAGCCAGGCATTGTGGCGGGTGCCTCTAGTCCCAGCTACTAAGGAGGCTGAGACAAAAGAATTGCTTAAGCACAAGAGTTTAAGGTTGCTGTGAGCTGTGACACCACAGAACTCTACCAAGGGTGACACAGTGAAACTCTGTCTCAACAACAACAACAACAAAAGTACCCTCAATGAATCCCCAACAATAAAAAAAAAAAGTAAAAGAAAAAGAAAAAAACTATATCAAGGCAATTGTCTATATTCTGAGCCCATCCATTTTTCATATTAAGCAGAATGCTCGTCCTGATAAATTGGTTAGAATTTTTCAAAGTAGTAAAATATAACAAAACCTCACTCACATTGTAATAAAAATCCAAGCATATTAAAAGCTAAAGTTGAGAAATATATTTAAGAAAAATAGTTTATTTTCAAACATCCAAAATATTACACTATAAAGACACAAATTCATGAGGCTACTAAATGAAAATTTGTTTCACATTTTTGAAGTATCACAAGCATAAGAATCTTTAGTTTAACCAAGATTGGAAATTATTAAAATTTCAAACACTGTTTATGCCAAGCTGGACACTATACTAACTGCTTCCTTCCTAACCAGTAATTCTAATCCTCCAAATCATCCTATGAGCTGAGTATTATTATCCCCATTTTTAAGATGATGAAATTGAGAAACAAATTATTTTTTTAAGTGCCTATGGTCACTAAAGGTAGCAGCTTAGCAAACACTGACGTGTCAGTCTGACTACAATGCTGGTGCACACACCACCACACCAAACCGAGCCTGTGTTCACATTCTAGCCTGACAGGAGTGAGGCTATCAGAAGAACCATATTGCTAAATCGAATTTAGTCTCAAGAGCTACATAACTTTTTATGATTTCTGATGATCTGGTATATAGCTGAAAGAAGCAAACCTCCCTACATTTTAAAAATATCCCAAAGCATACCTTGACATAAAACTGATTTTTAAGGAAGAAACCATTTAGGAATTCTAACACTTCTCTTTGCTCTTATTTTTAGGAAAAAAAAAAATCACAAACCTGCAGAAGTTATTTCAACACAAAGAAATGCAAATCCAAGAAATAAAAATCTTAACAGCAAAATCCTTCACCCCACCCATAGCACACATTTTAACACAGGGCATTCACATCACAAACCTGACTTCATAACTAGGAATTAAACTAAAGTAAGATGTGTAATACCATTAACACTTCAAAATTCCTTCAATCCTGGCAGAAGAACACATCTCAAACCATTTAAATCCAATTACCAATTCCAGTAAATTGTTCTTGCCCAGTATGTGAAAGTTTAGGACACTCTCCGTGACACAAGCAGGGGGCCAGGGGACAGGGTTTTTATATTTTGTATGTGTGACTGCAAATCAACTTTGCCATCATTCCATTTGACAGATTGTATGAAGTATAAAGAAAGTTGTCTGTCTCCTTGTTTAAAACAAATGAAGCCCTAAAAGAAAACACTGGATGGCTGCAAGATGATCCTGCTTCAGAGGGAGAGATGCAGTGACAAGATTCACGAGGAAATTCGTTGTAAACGTCTACAGAAGCCACCGCAACCCTCGGGATTGTGCGATCGCTGAAGGAGACATTTCACAAATATCTCAAACCTGCTATTCACCTGTGGCCTGGTTGGTGGCCATGTCAGAACCCTGCGGAACTTGCACAGAACTCACTAATCCTTTCTAGAGGTCTTGCTAAGCAGGCTATGGAAAACGAAGGGAGCCCAAGCACACATATTTTCCTTCGATCTAAAACTTCTGAGGTTGCATTTACTAAAACCAGTTTGCACAGAGGCAGAGTGACTTCGCTGCTACTGCAGGTATCGAGATCAAAATTCAATTACAAACAAAGCAAAGCTACCCTTTTCAGTATGTTTCGCTCCAGTAAAAAGTAAAAAAAAAAAAAAAAAAAAAAAGACAAAGCAAAGAACAAGGTTTCCAGTTTCCCTATTCTTGACCTTTGAAAAAGTCAGAACTGCGAAAAAGTCAGGACTCAGAAAGGAAAAGTTTCAGTGGCTGCCCGACACCGGCCGCTCGACTAACTCCGGGGCAGCTGGGGGATCCCTCCTCGCAGCGAGGGTCTCGCCGCGCGCGACCCCACACCGGAGACCCGGCGGGGAGCCCAGAGGACAGAGCCTCGTCTTCCCCGAAACCTGCCCCAGGTTCGGAACGACCAGCCCCGGGCTTCCCTTCCCAACCCGCACGAGGGCACGGACCAGCCCCCCCCCCTCCCCGCGCCTCAGCACACTTTCGGGCCCGACGCCCCGGCCGCCCCCTTACCGGCATCATTTTGGACCCGAACCGCATCGAAACGGATGGCCGGACCACGGCCCGGGCCAAGATGAGGCGGCCCGGGGGTCGCGGTGCGGGGAAGGGGAGTGGAGAGCGAGGCGGCCGGGAGGCAGCGGACCTGTTGCGAGGCGGCGGCACACAGGTCCGCAGGGCCCTCACTCACGACGGGCTGGGGCGCCACAAAGCCCCGGGCCCATCCCCCGGCCGGTCCCCCAGACGCGGCTTTGTCTCAGCGATCGCGACGGCCCGGGTTCCCTCCTCTGCTCCGAAACCAACTAATCCCGG